ATATATATGTATATATGTATATATATACTATTTATACACATACATTTTATATATATATATATATATATATACACTATTTGGCAGAAAATATATAATGCCTATGCAGATTTGTGTATTATTGGCTCCCTCGCAATTCACATTCCCATTCATCTTACTAGTGCCCCACCCCAGCCACCGGCCCTTACAAAGAGTATATCATTCAATTTGTTAAAAACTATAACGATTAGAAATGGCCTATTACTATTACGTGTAGACAAGAAAATGTGAAGGCAAACCAAACTATGGTTTCATTTATTCAATTGATATCTCCCTTAAATAGAAAGTATGATCCGGAGCCAATTCAAATTTGTATAAACTTTTACCAATTTGACATAGCCCTACTCAGACCTAAGCTATAAGACTTCAAATGTAGGCATATGCATATAAAATTCGAAATTAATCAATCATAGTTTTATGCAGGTCACGTTACACAAACGCACCTTTTTAAAAAGTAAAAAGGCCTATTATAGTACAAATTGCGAAGGACATTTAGATTAGATTAATCAATACCGTAGGTGACTGTCCTCACTGTGGCCTACGTATACTGTGACAATTGTCGGAAGAATTGTGATCATTGCAGGGAACACTGTGGTTTATACAGTTGTTTCGTGCTTGTTTTGTAAATCTCCGACTACATTTTAACACCGTGGGGGATCTGTAAAGTTTCGACATGGTAAAATCGGATGGCATCGCGCATGCGCATGGCCTTTATACGGGCAATAAGTATGCTCTGAAAACGTAGAACTGTTAATACTATTCATACGAAAACAGGATACCAATCGGACGTAGGCAGTTGACAATCAACATCGTCGTCATTGTTTTGTTCGACAACGAATATTTTGATTGGCCAATGAACTAGAACCTTAATACAGTCGATTAAGTTTACTAGTAAATGTAGACGGTACCAATGTAGACCGACTTGGTCATCACTGACAGTACACCGGTGGGTTACGTGAATTTATCTTACCGACAATAAAACTATTCGGTTCGTATTGAAAACTGGCCAGTGATCGAGAATTTAGCCATTGTAGCATGCAAGTCAATAATCATGGTTAGAGACACACTGAAAGGTAATTTATTTAAAAACGTATTCCGAACTTGCCATAGTTATATACTATTTATACTGTATTGAGATTGATTATGCCGTTTACTGAATAGGCTATCGATTATTCATTGTGTTTACAGTAATAATTTAGTAGTAACATTCAAGAAGAAAACATGTGAAAGACTTAGGCCTATAATTTATTATAGTGTTCGGAAATATTGTGTTGGAAGGTTTAAAAATAGTGGGGAGCAAAGAAGTACATCGATAGCCGTTTATTGTACTATTGGACAAAGAAACAAAAAGCTAGAAATACAGACACTCCTGAGAGGCCTATGATTCAGAACCCATTGGGGCCTACCGTACCTCCTGCCCAGTAAGGGGTCGTTCACAATTTTCCAATTTCCACAAGTGTACAAACAGTTACGCTAGGGGACAGGGTTGACAAATTTGTACACTTTTAAAACTGCATGAAAATGTTGATTCAAAATAACATGCAATATTCAAAATAATAGATTTTTATGAGCAAAAGCAGCCATGGATACAGTAGACATTTTATGCAACCAGACTTTAGTTAACACCACACAAAAATGGAGAATGGTTTTCTGAAATCAACATGTGTTATGTTCGCGTTCATTAAAGAGGCCGGGGAGTGGTACCGAAAAAGAGATAGGCCTAACTGTCTGTACCCTTGATGAAAATGTCGATAATTGTGAATGAGGCCTAAGAGGTAAATGTGTTCGAATCTTTATAACAGACTACTTTGTGAAACAACAACATTGGCCTAGTGATGCTGTGTACGAAAATATTTAAATAATTGACGGTCATATGAATACTGTTAATAGTATATGTTATATATTACTGCTCTTCCAATTTTGTGACTATTTTAATAATTTAAATCAAAAAATTATTCTATTCATCAGTAATATAAATTACAGTGTACTAGGATATTTAAAAAACCGCAAAATTAACTCAAAAGAGCTTATGTGGTGGTGGTGCTACTTACATTCTTAACTGAAATAAATTAACAAAATAGGCCCATATTAAAACAACAAAGTAAATTCGATGTGACATAAAAATGATAAGTTAAATGCAAATACCGGTATGTAGCCAATAAATGCACAACAGAAATATAAATTCAAATGCATGAATCTGCCTATATTACGGATTTGCGAAATCGATTAATTAATAGACCCTTAAAATCCCTGAATTGCATGTCTTTCCTTAAACCCCTCCCCACAATCTCTGGTTTTGTACTCTGTGGGAAAATGTAAGCTAACGTATTATATTCAGTTATGATGAAAGAACATATCCCACCTGCAAAATTTAAAACATTAATTTGTTTTTCCGATTAGGTGAAAGTTCATCTGTGTGATACCCTTCAACTCAATAGTACTCGTTCAATATAATAGGCCTAGTCCTTTTTTTTTGGCAAATATTGGTGAGTAAACGGCAACTGTCTAACACTGAGAATTCCATTTGTAGGCCTATATCTATCGGCTGGCAGGTTTCCTTGTTTAGAAAGCAGACAAAACTTGTTTTTGTTTAGTTTTCTTCTTTTTGTTTAAAATTGGCTCAGGATTAAATAGCCCTAGTAGCATTGTTTAAATCGAATTTCGAAAAGACTCGAATTGTTAAAACAATTGGTTGGCCTGTTTTCTTTGCTTGAATAGTAAAGGAAATCGTGTTTAAAACCAATATAATTCTGATCCTTTAGAAGAGAGCTCTGTTATCCATTGTTAAAAGATGAAAGGTATCACTTCAACTATAATACCTTTCGACTATTAAATAAGTATTTTTTTATAGAATGTTTACAATAACTAAACCATTTTTAAAACGAACTTCTATGTACCATTTTGTATATTTTACTAATGTTATATACGGTACCGTTTTTAATAATTTTTTCTGTAGTCTGTAGTGATTTTTCATATGATTTGCTAACAACGAAATAATTTATTGTACTGTACTTTTGCTTTACAGGACCAATAAAACCTCTGTATTTGTATTATGTTTAAAATAATAATATAAATCATCCATGAACTGGAATGATTAACTCTCAATGTATTAACATAGGCTTGATATATTCAATAATGATTGATGATTTTTTTTTCTCTGCATCATTGTAGTTAAAGGAGAGTGAATTGCAAAGCTTTCCCGGAACCTCTGCTCTTAAACGTCAGTATGTGAATAAATCACCCGCTTTTAAAAATAATGGACGATGACATTAAACATTTAAAATGTAGTTTCCGTGAATTACATTCCTGCAAGAATTTAACGCTCTGAAATTCAAGGTCTTTTAAACAAATCCGAACGAATTGTATATATTGTATTTTAGTAGTGATTCAAAATATAATTATTGCTATTTTTTATGTTTCAGATAACAACTTAAGAGGAATGATGTATTGGGCAGAAAGGACAAACCTACCCCCTATTACAGAAGCACAAGATCCATTGTCATCGCAAAGAAAAGGCAACGTATTTAATGCAAAAACAAATAAGGAGTTTAAAAACACGCAGCCGGTCACTATTGAAGTTTTAATCAGGCCGAAATTTGGACACAATGCGGAACGGAACCTAAATCCAAAAGAACGGATTAAGCCAGTTAGACCGACAAGAAGTTTTACGCCAAAGCCTAAGCCGGGGTTTACGCACGAGAGGGGGACAAGTTTAAAGAATGCTCAACCACCTTGTGAACGTCCAAAACTTAGAAAAACAGTATCTTGCATTCAACATATTAAGGAGGAACACGGCCACTTGCCTGCTACAGAACATACCAATGTGGTCCCAAGAGAAAGCTCAGCGACATTCTCAAAATCAACTTTAACAAGTAGTACTGGTAATTCAAATGAATCGGTTAACAGAATAAGGACAGTTCGTAAAGCGAAATGGAGCAACAATAACGGTTCAAGAAAAATAAGTTTAGCACAAAATGAGGACGTTTCTCAAATTGTTACAAGTAAGAGGCAAACAAATGAACAGTTTTTAGACGGGAAAACGAAAAATCGAATAATAAAATGGCTGTCAGGAGTTGAAACAGCAAGAGAGTCGAAGGAAGCAAAAACTCAAAATATAGAAAACGAAATAGTACAATCAATTAATGATTCTGAACAAACGCTTCCTATGATAGATGAAGAAAACGATATTTCACCAACTCAACAAACTTAATATTATTGAACAGACGAGGACTAAACTAATATTCATGTTGTCTTTGATTAATAACTGTAACTTATTGCAAATGTTTTAAATGCAACCTATTTTATTTGCAGTGTTTGTTTTAATTATATATTTTAATTGTAAATTGATTATATTTATAGTTTAAAGACACAGCAAATGGAAGTGGTAATATTGTTACTATAAATGATGATGTTTTAAATATAGATCTCTAGTTTTTGAAGTGGATATGAATGAATTCTTTTTTGATGTATCTACATAATAAAAACAAACACATTATGAAGCACCTATTGAGTTTTAACTGATCCTCCAATATAAGTAAGATTTTATTTGTTACTAGTTAATTTTCTATTTACCTGTTTCATAATTTCATTATTGTATGCCTATACACTTAATTTGTGCCTAATCGGCCGCTCGTTCAATCACCAGACAACATGTTTATGTTATTTGCATTCACATTCACGTTAATTAATAATTAATCACAAAAATATAAAGGAAACATAATCTGTAGATAGAATAAAACATTGGAAACAGTTACTTAGTAGGCCTAGGCCTACTTTAAGGACTAGTTAAACAATACCATGGAGAAATGTTATTATAGGCCTAATACTAAAAAAATATATTTATTTTATGCCTCCGTATTATTACTAGACACGAGCCTTTGAGCAGGCAGTGCTCTTTTCCAGGTGTATAGTCTGTTATCTAAAAATGTGTCGATGAAATTTATAGCCAAATACGCTATCGGTTTATTAACAATTATAAGTCCTCTATGGTCACGGTACTTATCACTTTGTGTGTGAAGTGTATCCCTGTGGAATTACGTGCAAAGGTGAGCCGGATCTGGCCCAGTCGGTAAGTTTAGTTACAAATCCGTGACCCAACCAACCATGACCATGGAATGTATTCAGACACTACAGGAGACATTCCCATCAACCAAGGGAATATTGCCCCAGTTTTCTGGGCCTTATGTTTATTGTTCTGTTTCTTTCAATATAGCACGGTTGTACCTTGGGACTAGTCGGTCAAAGGGCAAGCAGCCCATAAAAACGTCTACCTTAAAAATTAAAGGCTTAGGTAATTGGTCAGTACTGGTGCTAATGATAGTTACTGCTGTATATTACGACATTATTCGGTCATCCCATAGTGATATAACAGTGGCGGATCCAGGAATTCGAAATAGAGTGAGCCCAGGAAATTTATACAAATATAGGGTCAATACCATCTCAGCCCCACAATTTTTTTGTCTGAAGTTCAAAAAATTATGATTATGGCACCAGATTGCCAGAATCGACACTCTCAGACTTATATTTGAATATAATTTTCCTTTTTTTTTTCAATTGTTTTATATTTTTGAAAAATTTAGAGAGTGGGGGAGGACCGAATGTGTCCCCTTTAATCTGCCACTGTTAATATGCCGCAGTATGCTCGCGCTGTCGCTGACGTCATATTACCGCCTCTTCTACCTAAAAAGTAATTTTCGGCCTTTATTGTGCTACATGATTAACTTATATTTGCAATTATAGACCTTATAATGTATTATTAAGCCAGGAATATTACGCCTACACCGATTTATAGAGCAGACCTGCGATTTGGCAGATTTTGTTAACCACTATACGGTTGTAAATTTCTACAGAATATTGTAATAGTTAACCTTGTTTGTAATAAATTATACATTTTTTAAACAATTTACACAATTTATTCTCAACAACCTCAATTCATACTTTTCAATATGAAAAAGACAAAATCTGACGCTAATGGACGCTAATTAAATTTTACCTTCTTGTACTGTAGTGTGTATCTTTTAGCACTACTCAGTTAACCCATTTGTTATTTAAAACCTATCTTTAAGGTAAATTATTGATCTATCACTTTCACTGGGGGAAGTTCTTGTGAAATCCGAGTAGTTTGGTGAGCAGATGTGTATAAGAGACAGCATCGGCCACCTCGCTCCCACATCCCCCCCCCCAACTGTTGGACAAATTCTGGTGCCACGCCTGATGAAAGCAAATGTTTATGTAATACAGTAAATTTGACCTTATTTATCATGTGCGCATGAGGTCTACTCCATAGGAACGTAAAATCATTGGCGGGTGGTAAGGTAGAACATTACTCAGCCTGAAATTCATTTCGATAATAAATCGGTCATGCGCCTGGGTTGCGTCCTTAACCTGGTTTTAGTGCGGTACATGAGTCTAATCCTACCAGAGATACTGACTGTTTTGAGTGCGGACCCCCGAGAAAAGACCTAAATCCAAGCGTTACTGAAATAAGACAATTGAAAAATCAAAGATAGTGCACATTACTTGCCTTTATTTAGCTACAGTTTAAAAATGCTACTTTTCGTTTTGCTTATTTCTGACGTTTAGAATTACAGAAAGGTTCTCTTTGGCGGCCTTTGCGAGGCTGTGAGTAGTAGCATAATATTGAATATTGCTTATTATCAACGAAACACACTGAAGTGATGCGTTTCGTTTACCTATAGGCCTACAGTACTGCATATTACTTTGATACCTTCCACTATGTACGTAAGTTTATTAATGACAACTCCTCGTTCAATAATTTGTATAGGGCCTATATTAAATTAAAAAGTTGGCAAAGTTAGCTTAGCGCACCATACAGCAGGCCTCCTTCAATGCGGTCTACTTAAAATCCTATCTTATAACCATTCAAATAAATTGGGGTTTTTTTTAAAGCCCACAACAAGTTAAAACTTGGTTGAATTAGGATAATTTATAGGCATTGGCGGGTTCTGACCCCCCTATATATATATATATATCTTTGAATAAATTCATTTGCAGGTTGGTAACATTTATTTCACTGGTTAAATAAAAGAAAATTACCCAAAATTATAATCAGGACCTGTTACAATGGGAAAATTAGAAGTCAGGAAAGCTCATTTCCCGCCATCTAGGGAGTGCCCCGACCCCCTTTCCTTTTGAGGCTCATCGACTCATGGAAAAATGAATACGTATGCAACTCCTTAACTTTTTTTTCTGTATATACCGGTACACACATGGCAGGCCGTAAGAATGAGAAATATTTACCTGACCGTTTTCAAGAGGGCATAAAACGTTAAATTTTGAAGAACTTAAAATTCATTAAAAGACACTTCAGAAGTCGGGAAAGCTCTTTTTCCGCCATCTAGGAATCAACATTTTCCCGGGGAAAGAACCCCCCTCCCCTTTCTTTTTGGGTTTTTTTTAAACATTTTTACCCCCACCCCCACCGGTAAATTTCAACCCAGATCCGCCCCAATAGGGGCTTAGGCACTCAAGGCAGGTAATATGTTAGGCCTAAGTGTGACTTCTTCTTCTTGCATTTAGGGGGTGGGCGGGCCGTCCCCGGCCCACCGTTTGGAAAGTGAAAAAAAAAAAGAAGAGTAAAAAAAATAATGAAAGAAAAACAAAAAATAAAAAAAGGGTCGCCCAAAACGCCTCATAGGTTATTTTCTAGAAAACGAATTCCCTAGGGTAGTGTTGTCTTGATCAGCCCCACTTTCGGCCCCTATCGTGCTCCCCCACCCCACATCTCTGGATCCGCCTCTGGCCCGGATGCGATTTTTTTTCCGTACGAAACATTTGCATGAAACTTCACTCGGGCCATCTCGGATTGACTCGAGTGAGTACGATACGAGGAACAAGATCAGACACTTCTCAATGTCGTGACGCTCGAGTTTTACTATTACTGTATTGC